GCGCAAGACAAGAGCAAAAGCTCAAGGGGCAAAAATGTACTCAAGAAATGAAGTGTTTCATTTAGAAGGTTCCAATGATAGAATAGAAATTTGTATGATTATTTACCTTTTTCTTCTTCCCTGTTGGGAATAATGAGGGGAGACAAACTTTGAATTTACACTTTTTGTAGTAAGAGAAATTAGCTAAGAATGCTTGTAGAGGAAGAGCCCTCATATTTGCATCACTATAAGTTTGAATTTTTGTAAATTAAATTAGCTTGAAATGGAGATTTTCCACATGAGTATTGTCTCAATTTCTTCTTTTATGAGCAACTAAATCTTTAGCTAGGGGAGTGTGTGCAAGGTTTGGTGTAAAACCTCAATGGGTGTTGATTAATTAATTCTAAAATTGATTGTATGGCATGGACCTATTGTTATCTTAAAGTTTTAATCTAAATATCAGTGATTGCAAACATTGATTGAGCTCTCATACACCATTTTGGCTTGAGGAATCAAAAGGGAGTTGGGTAAGGGTCAATAGTGAGGACTTGGTGAAATTATTTGGATAATCCGAGTAATTTCTCATTTAATGATATGAGTTAGGGATAGTCTGTCTACTCAAGCAATATTTGGTCTTTTATTGGTAAGTTTCTTGGAGTTTGAGAAAAGACATACGTTTGACAATTCAAGAGAATATTGAATGTAGCCTAGACCAAATGTTATTCATGTATCAATCGATTTGGTTGCAATTAATCTCTACCTATTGAGTTGAAATCCCATCGTAATACAAAAACCTCTAGTCTTTTCCAAACTTCGTAGATCATGTTTGCATTGATTCTAATCCTTGTGGTTTTGTGACATTGTTTTGTATATGATCGTCTATGCTCTGAAAGATGAGACATAGTTGAGCATTTATCAAGTAGTTTGTGCATCTTCACTTTGACATTCTTCCTAATTACCTCAGGAACTATGTTAGCCCGTCCTCGCAAGTCGTAAGTGACATAATGGGGATACAAGAACCATTTTTTAGAAAAAACAAATTTCTAATGCTTAAAATGATTGTGCGAATCGTTACATAAGTACTGAAAAAATAAATAATTTTAGTTGTCAAATACTTAAATCTATGAATGATATATTAATTAATAATTACCCCCTTTCATTCCCATTTTATCATCACAATAAGGTCTTTTACCTCCCTTAAAAAAATTAAGAATGTAATTAATAATTTTGCTAATATCTTCCTTATTTCTTTTTTAATCTTTGTATATTTAGGTGCTAGGTGCCTCTTATCTGGAATAGTAAATGTTAAAGGAAAAAATTGAAATAAATAAATAATTATTTCTGATTTTTTAAATTAATAAGCATTTAAGAATAAGGGGTCGTTTGGTGTGATGGATAAGGAGAGTTAATCTCGGGATATATTTTAAATAGCCTCTAATCCCTTGTTCGGTTGCAAAGCTTGGAATAACTTATCACAGGATTGATAATTAGTCCTGAGATAAGTTATCTCTCCTCTTTAGTGATATAGTAATCCCGGGATAAGCTATCCCGAAATAAATACATAAATGACAAATTTATCCCTTTAAACTCTATTTATACCTCATTTTTCACATTTATCTATGACTATTTTTGAAAGTATTTAACCTCCTTAATCTTAAATAATTCTTTTAAAAAAACTTATTTACAAAAATAAATAAATTATGTAAAACAAAGTAGTATTCCCTCCGTCCCATTTTATGTGGCACCATTTCCTTTTTGGTCAGTCCCAAAAAGAATGTCACATTTCCTTATATGGTAAGTATTTAAATATACAATTTCTCTTTTACCCTTGTTGGTCCCACTTAATCTTAAAATAATACTCCAATACATTTATGAGGAGAGAGAAAAGTGAGTCTACTTTTTAAAGGGCATTTTGGTAAACATTTCAAAGTCTTCATTTATTTCTTAAACTTCGTGCCCAGTCAAATGTTGCCACATAAAATGGGACGGAGGGAGTACTTATTTTATTATATATTTGTTTTTTCACTAAACAAAAATATTAGCACACGTGTCCTCCCAATTTCCTCCCCCTCCTCATACTATTTTTAGGGAAAAGGGATAAAAATACCCCTCAACTTTGATTTATTAGGTGAGTATGCCTTTATTGTTAAAACAAAGTTATTTATACCCTCACCGTCACTAATTTCACCATTTATACCCCTCAATTGATGGAAATTTCCAAATTGACTCATGTTAACCCAAATTGACTCAAATTATCCCAAATTTTTAAAAATAACCCACCAACCTAAAATAATTCAAACCCAAACCCGACCCAACTAGCTTAATTCAAACCTACTTCACCTTCATCTCTAAAACAAAAGTTCAGGAACTCAATCTTTCTCACCGTTGTCTCTCCGCCTCCGTCTCCTTTGGGTCAACAACGAAGAACCCAAAGCTAATTTGCATAAACAACGAAGAGTCCAATAACCTCCCAAATTAGCCACAAATCACAATTTCTGCAACCTCATCCTCAAGGGAACCTGTTTTTGGTTCTGACGTCTCGTTATTTTCAGAATAGCTAAGCTCTTTAACAAGAGATGATTTATGGTCTGTTTGGAAAGCCACCAGGTAATTGGAATTGGTGTAATTACTAGGATAGTAATTACCAGCCTAGTAATTACACAGTCTAGTAATTACACTGACATGTTTGGTTTAATTACACATGTCATGTTTGTATGTCATAGTGTAATTACACATGTTCTGTTTGGATGCACAATTGCAAACATAAAATTATAATAAATTTTTAAAATAAAATTAACCATTTAAAATTTATACTAGACAAATAAGAAATTTTATAAATGACATTAAATTAAATATTTAAGATATATATTCTTTTTTGAAAATATATTAATTAATAAACATATTTATTGTAACTAATATTATTAAAAAATAATTGATTTATATTTTTTCAAATTAATATATTTCAATTGAATTGATCGTAACAACTAAAAGTATGAAGTTTCTACGAACATTGTGAAATGCATGTTTGATAAAAAGAATAGTAATATATAAATAAAATATCATAAATTATTAAATGTTTGACAAAAATATAATCTATCAAGTCTAATTAAAAAAATGACATGCAATGTAAATTCAATATTACTAAAACAAATGAAACTGAAAATATAACATAAGTAATAAATTCAAAACAAAAAATTTAACATAATACTCTTATAACAAATTTCAACATAGCAATAAATATGATTTATTTTTATTTCTTCATAATAAAGAAAACATAAGTCTATAACCTTACTTGACAATAAATTCTATTTTAATTTAAAAATTAGAATACTAATAAAATTATGCTAATGAAAAAATAAACATGGCATAAAGAAATAGATAATACGAGAAAATTACATAGAATCACGTAAAGTAAGGTTGAGAACAAGAATTAAATGAAATAGAATAATATAAAATAAAAAATAGACTTTTACAATTTTTTAGAATAATAAAAATAAAAATAAAAAGAAATTAAAATAATAGAAGTAAAAAAAATTAAAACAAAAAAAATAAAAATAGAAATTAAAAAAAAAAAAAGTAATCAGGTGGTAATTACACCATGTAATTACCAGCAATTCACAGCCTCTGCCTGTGAATTGTAGAGTGTAATTACCCCTTGCCAATTACACCAATTACCTGCTGACCAAGTAATTACATGTCCTTCCAAACAGGACAAGACAATGTAATTACACCAATTACACCAAATTCAATTACCAGAGTGTCCTTCCAAACAGGCCCTTAATGAAATTGTTCAAGCAAAAACTAAAAATTCTTCTGATTACTGAACATGTGGTCTCCTAATCGGCTCTTGACAGTTGCATCATCTTTCCATATTCCTAATCCAAAAGAAGCATTTTTATTATGTTTAGACCAGGAATAAAAGCTGCTAGAATTGCTCCCTATTAACCAGAATTGGAAAAATAAAACACAACCTCACTCACCAGGAAAATCAGGAATTGAATAAATGAAAGGGCTTCACGGTTAGGTTGAAAAACATTATCTTAACATTGGCTAGTCGGAAATGCATTGAATCGGCGTAAAAACTCTCATTTTACTGAGTTCTATTACTATCTGTTCAGCTATTAGCTGAAGATGGGTGTGATGACGATGAAGAATAAACATCTTTGAGGCAGAGGACGAAACATGAATTTTTATGATTTTCTAGTGAATTAGCTGAGAAAATAAATGCCCCATGAATTGATTTAGAAACAGGGGTTCAAATCGATTTGCGCCGGTTCGTCGGAATTGAAGAAAGAATCGAATGAGGACAAAGAGAGTTATCCTTCAATTGCTTGACGACTTGTTTGAGGCAGACGATTTGGGTTATCATGTGAACTTTTTTGTGCAGTAAGAAAAAGTCATTGTTATCGGTCTAAGCTTTCTCTCGGATATGTGCACAAGTTGAAGAGAGAAGGAGAAGAGATCGATTTGTGTTATTAGTTGACGGGTTATACCATAGAGGGGTTGAGGCATTGGGTTTAATATGGGAATGGGTCTTTTTAAAAAGTTCAGGTTAATTTGAATCAATTTAGGGATTTCCGTCAATTGAGGGGTATAAATGGTGAAATTAGTGACGACGAAAGTATGAATAACTTTATTTTAACGGTAGGGGTATAGTCAACTCATAAAACAAAGTTAAGGGGTATTTTTTTTTATCCTTTTTCCTTATTTTTAATACCATGTATAATAATATTCACTACTCTTTACTTTTATGATAATTTTCTATTAAAAATTACACTATATAAATATAATTTTTATTTAATAAAGCCTACCTAAGTTTAAGTAGCTTACCTCTCCCCACCTGTAAACTCAGATTCACAAAATTTCCCATTTCTCTCTCTCTCTTGAACAATTATGATCCATTCACACTACCTACAAATACGGAGATCAATTTTGAAATGCTCTTTTCTGTGTCACCAACTCGTTTTCTTCTTCTTCTTCAGCAGAAGCAGCAGTGGTGTTGTAATTAATTACGTACGGAGATGTTATCATCGTGTGATTGTGCTACAGCTGCAAATTCGGTTTTATTCCTTCGCCGTATCGGTACGGTGGCCCTATTATTCATTCTCGCTTCACTCTCTTGGTTTGTCCTTTATAAAGCTGGTGAAACTATTGGATTCAAGATCCCGGACTCTCTCACCTCCCATGCACCTCGTGTTTTCTTCTTCATCCCTCCCACAGCTCCCTTTCCCCCTCCCTCGGTGAGAACTACTTTTCCTCATTTCTCATTATATATATATATACAATTATTTGTCTCTGGAATCGTTTTTTTTTTTTAACAACAATGGGGCACTCGAGGTTTTTCTTCTAGTTAGTTATAAATATGCTCGATTTACAAGTTGATAGACTTTCTAATACAAATATAATCCACAATTCTGTTATTGTAATTTTAATAATTGTCTTCTAAGTTTTTTTGCTTAAGATTTATTTTCCTATTCCCCCAAATTAATGGTGGCTCAGTAGTTATCAGTTTTTTCTTTTTAAGTTTTTTTAAGAAACACTCATGTATGATGCCTACACTAGGCAGTGGGGTTTAGGTTAGGAAGTACTAGTGAACTCTTTCTTGTTTTACAAAACAGATATATCTAAATATTGGTAACATCGCCAGTGGCGTAGCTACAGTATACTCAGCGGACACCCGTCGTCGGAAAATTATACTATATATAAAAGTAGCATTATATGTTAAATGGTTAAATAACATATTTTGGACACCCTTGAAATAATGATAGTGTTGTAGCCTAGTGGTTTCTGGCAAGCATGAAAACTTCAGGCTTTAGGTGGTCGCGAGTTTGAATCTCACTTGCTGCAGTGTTTAAGCTTTTTTGGACACATTTTTGGCTCCGCTTATCTCATGTAAAATCCTTTATGGGTTCAGGATACTCAGGAGAATAAGTTTGAAAAGGTTTTGAAAGATGCTGCTATGGAGGATAAAACCGTTATTTTAACAACCTTAAATGAAGCATGGGCTGCCCCTTCTTCTGTTATTGATCTCTTTCTTGAAAGCTTTAGAATTGGCAATCACACCCGTGAGCTTTTGAATCATTTAGTAATTATTGCTCTAGATGAGAAGGCATTCTCCCGGTGCTTGGTTGTACATACTCATTGCTATGCACTAGTAAGTGAAGGGGTTGATTTTTCAAAGGAAGCTTATTTCATGACTCATGACTACCTAAAGATGATGTGGACAAGGATCAACTTCTTAAAGGGTGTTCTTGAAATGGGATACAACTTTGTCTTCACGGTATACATTCTAATACTTGTATCATTATCATTTCAATTGTCCTTCTTATACTTTTTTTTGGATAATGGTAGATCTGAAGAAATCTTACAATAGATTAATGCATTGTAGTAAAAAATGTATTGCTTTATAGCATGATCTTTGTTGTCTCCTTACTAAAAGTACCAATGTATTCCACTTATATAGTAGCGACAAAACAAGAAGAGATTTCGATAGTAGTTTTATTTTTTAGATAAAAATAATGCAATTCAGAATTTAATTGGTAATAGTCTTCTAGTTTCTGATATTGAAATGATTTGGTTGCTTGATTTCCTTAGCATCGGTAGCACTGCTGTCAGATTACAATGGCATGTATAGTTTGTTTCTAATGGTTTGGTGAAATATACAACCTAGAGTCACTTCTTGACCACCAATTAGGTACTTGAATAGCTTTCATAAGATATATGAGAGTTATGTTTTCTTACTGGACAACTGCCAAGGACTGGAAAAGATTCAGTTTTTTTTTGGGGAATATGAGAATGCTACTTGTCTTCGAGATGTTTTCTTTGCTGGATTTTAATGAGCATTCTGCAGGGTCATTGAGAACTTGATTTGAAAGATGTTACATTTATCAATAATTATTATTGAAAATCTACCATTCTGTTTACTGTTTTTGAGATCCCTGGTGTATAAGTGTGTTAGATTGTTTTTATGATAAGAGCCTTTCTTTAGAGGTTTATCGGGATTCTAAGTGCCACACCTAGGAAGTTGGCATGTGGGAATTTTAGAAACTTCCAGGTAATCATGTTACAATTAATTTGCATGTGCCTCAAAGTAATAAAAGTTCTAAACATCTACTTTCAGTACAAAAAAAAAATTTCACTAACTATCAAGGAGTATATTTGGATGAAAAGATGCACATTTCAAACTAAAATATAAGCCAAACTTGGGAATAATGTTGAAAGACAAAGAGTATAGACATATAATGGGGGATACACCAAAAGTATGTTAGCCCACTCCTCAAGAGGAATGCCATTCATTATCTCATTGACAATGCTTGTTTCTTCCTTATTCATACTAAACAGCTGAAACAAAATGGGTTGTATTACCTCGACATTGTAGCAGATTGCATCAATGTTCTTTGATCTAGATCTCTGCTACTTCTTTTTCTTTCCTCGTTTGTTGCTCGGTAATTATAACAAAGCTGGCAAGAATCATTACTTTAGGAGGTCTTTTGTTGAAGTGCAGGGCCTTAAATCAGACTAACTGAAACCTTCTGCATTGACATCGCTTTGATGGCAATTCAAGTTTCTTTTCTATGATAGTCCATATGACCTGTAAGTGTAATTGAAAGAGATGTAGTAAAGTTCTGATTTACCTATAATATCATGTGCACTGTTTATGCTGCTCATCTTTGGCAGTATTTATGATTTGTCATTTAACGTGTAAATAGACCTAGGGCCTAACTCAACACAAAAAGCTAGTTCATGAGGGGGGGATTTGTCCAAAAACATGTAAAGGGAATTCTCATCTCTATGTGGGATGATGTGGCAGTCAACACCCCCACTCACCCAAGCCTGGACATCTAGAGCATGGACAATATAAGATGGGGGACCGAACATTGGGATTGGCCTGGTTTTGATGCCACGTTAATGGACCTTGCAGCCTAACTCAAACAAAAAATCTAGTTATGAGGAGAGGATTGTATAATACCATATAAGAGGCCTCCAACCCCTAAGTGAGCCGATATTGGACTCCACAGAAGGATCATCTTTAATCGATTGAATAATATGCATGTATTGTGCAATTTTGGATGCAGCATTGTTTGTAGTAGCTGCCATTGTCTTCACCTAGTTTAAAGTAGAAATTTCTTAGTCCTGTGCATGCGACACTTAAACACTTAATTGGTTCTTTTTTCCTAGGATGCTGATGTCATGTGGTTCAGAGATCCATTTCCTCACTTTTACAAGGATGCAGACTTTCAGATAGCATGTGATCATTTCTTAGGAAACCCTGAAGACGTAGAGAATAGACCTAATGGTGGTTTCTTGTTTGTGAGGTCAAATAACAGATCTATTGAGTTCTACAAGTTTTGGTACACCTCACGGGAAACATATCCGAATTTGCATGATCAAGATGTTCTTAACAATATAAAGTATGATTCATTCATTATTGATATTGATCTCAAAATGAGATTCTTGGATACAACATATTTTGGTGGATTTTGTGAACCGAGCAAAGATTTGAACGTAGTATGTACAATGCATGCTAATTGTTGTTTTGGGCTAGAAAGTAAACTTCATGATCTTAGAGTCGTGCTTCAAGATTGGAAAAACTTCTTGTCTTTGCCACCAATGTTGAAGAGATCATTACCACCATCATGGCGAGTTCCTCAAAACTGCAGGTTTGTCATAGTTTTAAAGAATTTTTTTTACTATTAATTTATGAACTCAAGTGATTGTACTTACACAAGACATAACACTAGAATTTATCAAAACAAATAGGCCTCTGGTACAATCCAACAGAACATGTTGTATTGCTCCATAAGGTCATACCGTAGTCATACACAACATTACATCAAAAACTAAACAAATCCTTAGAATTGTTATCGAAAGTTGCACATCCGACCTTTTATCTTTTGGTTTAATATTCTACTCTCCGACCTGACCATCCAGTCCTCTATTTCCCATTTGTTCTTCCTTCATGTTTGTTTTGGACCTGTGTCTCACTTTCACTTGATCCAAGTTCCACCTCTCTTTTACCTTTTCTAATGTTTGTTCCCACCCCTTACCGTCTTCTATCCTTGCGTCTTGATTCATAGCTTTGACCCCTTCGTTACGGTTTTATCTGATAATACACATGCACACTACCTTGCAACATGCTTTTTTTTCTTTTCTTCTGACATGCGTTTCTGATGATTTTGCAGTCTTGATTCTCTTCACTTGTATGCCCCACCACTGGAGAATGTAATACAGGAGAATGTAGAACAATAGAATAAGAGTAGATGACTGACTCACTATAAAATTGTAATTGTTTTAGAAATATTGAAGCTACTTGCTGTGCCAGGTAAGTGGTAACCACAAAGCCAACAATTAATATAGGTTAGTTTGAAACCTGACTTGTTCTCAGTCTTGTTTTCACATACTTTTGTAAATACTAATCAAAGAATATTAACAAATTTCCTCTTGTTACATTTTGTGTTGAACTGTTTCTGTGACAAATTATCTTTTTCTTATAATTGCATACTAACCCATACTCAGATTAAACTTGAATTTGAACCACTTGGTAAGGCTGTATTGAATAGAAGCCCTGAATTGAGGATCAAATTAACCAACATTGAGTAAAGTTTGACCTAAATATCTCAAGAATTCAAATATAGAAGTGGGCAATTATTAGCTCATATATTCTAAATACTATTACAATATTGAAGTGTATAATAATATATACTCCCTTTGTCCCAATTTATATGACTCACTTTTTTTTTTAGTCAATTCCAAAAAGAATGACACATTTCTATATAAAGTAACAATCTAACTATAAAATAAATATTTTACCCTTAATGAAATGATTTACAGCCACACAAAATTCTATCATTCATTTTGGACCACAAGTTTTAAAAGTCTTCCTTTCTTTCTTAAACTCCATGCCGAGTCAAAGTACCTCATATAAAATGGGACGGAGGGAGTAACAAATTACAGAAATACACACCTTTTGTTTCACTTATTTCCATTATCCCCTATTACTTTTTAAAATCTCCAAAATCTCTTATTTCTTTAATGTATCCGAACCACATATTATGTATCCGAGCTAGTTTTTAATGTATTCGACCATAAAAGTATACAGCACATTGTCAAATGACAGATATGATTTGTTAGAGCTACATTGAGTTGTAATTCTTGTTCAAAAGTAATCAAGGTTACTAGATGACTTCAATGGTAAGCCCCAAGTTATGTTGGAAATATTGGTTGATGAGGTCATTGAAGTGGAAGCCCTGGTTAACACATGAGGGCAGAAATGTCAATTGTTGCAGCCTAGATTAGCTTTTCAGCATCTCCATCTTAATTATTTTTTATGTGAACCTATTTTTCGTCGGTATCAAAAGAATAGATGGAAGTTTTTCTAAATAAATGTGAATTTCATCAAAAAATCAACTCAATGGGCACCACTAGACAATAAATATTATGCATCAACAAAAGTTGTATGAATATGTATGGAACAAGTATATAACACAAAGTTCATCATTAAGTTTCAATACCTCTATGTGAACATGATATAATCAATTTCTCAAGTCATCAATCAATAATATTATAGTAAAGGACCATCTAGTCATCATCAAAACGTCAAATCGATTCATCTATTGACTATTAACTAATTCGCAATCTGGATTTCACAGAAAGTCATTCCATGCAATGATAAAGTCACATTCATGATACACCAGAGCTCATAAACAAATGCATAACAAATAAAAGTATTATGTATCCAACACGAGAAAATGGTCAAAATGGTCCTTAATATATGAGGATTGTTTTACTTTGATCCTTAATATAGTTTACTTGATCCATATAGTCCTTAATGTACTATAAAAAGGTTTCACTTTAGTCCATTGTCCTAAAAATAACAGATCCATCAAAAAAGTCAAGTTAAATTTAATGTCGGAACCCACAACAAAATAAACCAAGTAAACTTTTCCATTCCTCTTATAAGTCATAGCGTGAAAAAGTGCCATAATTTTCTCCATTTTCATCTCTTTCAAGTTTCACTGTAGAATTATATATGAAGTAAAAATACACTTACTTTCTTCTTTATTACCAAGAATGTTTATTTATCAAAAGAAATGGTAGCAAAGAATCAACTCCATATTATGGTATGATTTATTTATTTTTTCTTACGGTTTGGGTGTATCTTACTATCCTTGATGGTGGATCAATTTTGTCACCTTCAAATAAGGTTGTGATTAGAGCTTCTGTATCTATCTTCAAATACTATCTTTTTTTTTTAATGACAATGAAAAACTTCAAGAATTGCTTCTATTAGAAATCACTTATCAACATTGAATTGGAGTAGGAATTAGGGATCCAGAGATGAACTAAGAAAGAGAAAAACTTCTTACATTTTGCAGTAAAAAACAAAAGCTTTGTATTTAAATGAGAAGAGAGAAGTTTCCCTCTGATGGTTGAAGAAAAAAAAAAAGATGCACAAGCTTAGGGAAAGGGAAAGCTTGAGTTGCACATGGGGCCGGGTTAAATTTAACAGAAATTTTTAATAAATTTGTTACAGTTAGGACAAAAGACCAAACTTATCACTTTTTATAATACATTAAAGACCATATGTACAAGTGAAATAGATTAAGGACCACAATAAAGCAACTCTCATACATTAAGGACCCTTTTGATCATTTTCTGTATCCAACACACTCAAACTTATATACGATAATCATCTCCTTTGAGGTGTGTAGAAGATAAACCATAACCTACCTCAAATGTCCTCATAAATGCACTTTTCATTTTTTAACAACATTGTAATAGTCTCAATCCATGAAGAATATACTCCTTTTCAGTATACGAGTATTTTTATTTTTTTTACCCTCCCTAGGAGCTCCCACCCCTTTTGCTCCCTTGGTGACTCGCAACCTTCGGGTTGGAAGTGAGGGGTGCTTACCATCCTAGCAACTCCCTCTCGTCGTATACGAGTATATTGATACCCATGTTGCTATACTTTTTTTTGCTCCTAAACACACATACTAGCACACATAGTCGCCAAGTACTACAATGACTACACAAGTTAGATATCAATCTCATATGAACTTAGTTTTACAATTTATCAAATTCAATTATTATCAGATATTAACGTAAGTGTTTCCACCACAAGTATTATTTTTGTTATATAAACTACTACAGAAAAATAAATTAATCAATTAATCAAACTTTTACTAGCTAATGTTGAGACATAACGATTTTAAAAAATAGGAGCTGATATTTTGGATTTATGAATTTATTGGCAATCGTGTTAAGTAATCACATGAATTGACACTCGATTTTCTATCGATTTGTTTGGTTAAAGGAAACTACTGTGACTAGGTTCTTACAAGATATGTAGCACTCTAATTAATGCCCTTACTTTACCTCTCTGTGTTTAGGAACGTGACAAAGAAACCTACAATTCTGTTAAGCATTAACCAAGCATGGTTTCTCGGTATGTATTTGTCCTACCCAAACCTCAATCCCCTACACGGGGTAGAGATCATGTTCTACTTAACCCTATTGATTACCCTAGCTAGGTTCTTCCTCTCGAATCACATCTATGTTTCTTATATATGTTTTACTGGTAGCTATGAAATAACATAGTTATGTGTAACACAGTAAACAACCACACAAGTTACGGAACAATGATAGATAGATACCCTAAAAAGTCTATTTCAAAATCATATAGCAACATTCATCAGACTACCATAACCCCCAAAAGGGTGTTGGCGCTCATTTAGCAAAAATCATAAGAGATCTAGTAACATATATAAAAATGTGTAAGAAAGATAAAAAGAAGTAAAAACTAAAAGATTTCATGGCTATAATGTTCTCTATGTACCAAATCCTCATAATAACGTCCCGCCCCTTCAAAAATTGATATAAGGGTCTATTTTTAGATGTGGAAAAACCTTCGGATGAAGTTAAAATTGGGCTATGCTAAACATAGACTTTGGTTAAACATGTGCCATCTTGTATTGTTTTATTCCTTAGCAAGTTGCCTGATTTTAATTTCCTCCACGGCAGGTTGGTCATCATACTGGATCAAACTACTCTAAGCATCGAATCTAATGTACATAACTCTTTGGTCTAGACTTAGAAAGATTCTTTAACATCTTCATATTACACAATGACACATTGCCCATCACAATGGATTTAACTGTGTTGGGCGAATTGCATCATAGTGAAATTCTTTACACTCTTTGACTTTGTATTTTTTTTAGATCTTTATTCAACCATGGCTATCATGATCCAGAAACTCAACATGTCACCAGTAGGTAAGTCGATACCATAGCCAGAATCAAAAGTAATGGGACGTGGAAGAGAAGGGATACTAGATGCACAGAACAAATATAGAGAGTAAAAGAGAGAGAGAAACAAGATATATATATATATATATATATATATATATATAAAAAAAACATCCCCAAGACCTGATATTAGTTGGTACTCAAGCTACTAACTATAACATAATTAGAAGATAAGTACAATATAAAGAACTGTCTGCGAATACAGAATAAAGACTAGCTTAGCCAAAAATAATAGGAGAAGGACGACTCGAAACGCCTGAGCTCACCCTTACACCTTGTTTGGATGGTTGTTACCCGTTGTATTGTATTGCATTGTTAGTTTAGATACAATGTTTGTTTTGATTGTTACTTAAATTCTATTATATCATATCGTTTAAATCCATCGTTAGGTAATGATGAAAAGACCCATTTTATGGAACGATCGATTTGGTGTGATCACGTCGTTACCTTAATATTTTCTTCTCATTTTATCTTTATTTATTATTTAATAATTGTATTTCATCTTTACTCTACCTTTTCATAGTATCTCTACCTTGTACCTTACTTTTCTTATAGGTTTATCATTCAAATCATGAATGTGTGACATTATGTAACGACAGAGAACGATATAACTTATCCAAACACTGTATTCATTAAAACAATACAGTACGATACAATACAATACGATACATTATGAAACAACACGTAAAAACCATCCAAACAAAGTGTTAGTCTTCGATCCATACCTATTCCATACGAGGAACACATCAACGGTGAGAACTTTTACTATAATCTGCAGGTGCAAAAGTATAGTATGAGTATCAAACACGTGTTACTTAGTAAGCATTGGCCGACTGATCTCCAAAGATAAAGCAAGCATAAAAAGTAGGTAGAGAGTAAATATACATTACAAGCAACTAAAGAAGAGGTGAAGTGAGAAAAGGATAACCAAAGACAAGAGGACATACAACATAATACACAAGTAACTGAGGCAAAAGAACCTATCGGAGGAACCATCGTGATAAACTAACCACAACAATCTTTGACACGAAAACTAACTACACAAAGGTATACTTAGAACATCTACCACGAAACATAATAGTTGCCAACAGACCCATCTGATCCAACCCAGTCGGGAAGTACAAATATAGGAGTAAATTG